CTGCAGATCTGAAGCTCTGTATCACTAGCCCAAAATGTCTGTCCCAGCGAATCTGGTTCTTTACGTGCGTCAGGAGAAAATGCTGCGTGAGCCCCCAAACAGGGGAATAATTAAATAATCTATTTTACCGAACGTCGTGCGGCAACTGAACGTTGCATTTTTGAGGGAGATCCTCTCTGCTTGCTTGATGGGATGCTACCCAGCTCGTGCATACTTAGTAAAACTACTTAGTAAAACTATTTAGATCTTCACACTAAAAAAAAAAAGCCATATCTTCACAGACTCACAAAACAATGTCTGATTTAAAAAGCAGTGATTCTCGGGGCACCTGGGTGGCTCAGTTGGTTGAGAGTCCGACTTTGGCTCAGGTCGTGATCTCATGGCTCCTGAGTTTGAGGCCCGCATCAGGCTCTGTACTGACAGCTGGGACCCTGGAGTCTGCTTTGGATTCTGGGTCTCCCCCTCACTCTGCGCCTCCCCCTCTAGAACTTGGTCTCTCTCCCCAAAATAAACAAACCTTGAAAAAAAATTTTTTAAAAAGCAGTGATTCTCAGGGCGCCTGGGTGACTCAGTTAGTTGAGCATCTGACTTCGACTCAGGTTGTGATCTCATGGTTCGTGAGTTTGAGTCCCACATCAGGCTCTGTGTTGACGGCTCAGAGCCTGGAGCCTGCTTCGGATTCTGCGTCTCCTTCTCTCTCTGCCCCTCTCCTGTTCGCACTGTCTCTCTTTCTCTCTCTCTCTCTCAAAACCTGAATAAACATTAAAAAAATTAAAAAAATAAATAAATAAAAAGCAGAGACTCTCAAAAAATGGTCGTTCAACCCACCTCTTGGTTACTGAATTCTTTCCTTGCAGGAAAATAGGAGTAGGTAAGCTGGTAAAGTCAGGGCTCTTTTGCCTCATCTAAGTTATGCTAAAAAAATTTTTGAGAACTATCATACCACATATTATGTAGATATGTAAATATAATATTTATATGTAAATATAACGTGCATTATGTAATTATGTAAAAATAAAAATCGACACACACATACAGAGAAATAAGACTATCAGGAACTGTATCAGACTATTAACAGTGGTTTCACGAAGTGGAAGATCAACGACTCTTTAAATCCTTTTTCACAGTTTTTGGCTTTTGTTGAATTTCTACAATGAACATGCTTTAATTTTACTAAGAAGAAAAAAATCCTTCCAGGGAAAAGAACACACCCCCCCCCCCAACACACATGCTAAATTAAATTCACAGATTCCATGTTTAACTTTTTTCCCTGAAATTCTATAAAAGTACAAACCAATGCCAAAGAGGGGAAGTATGTGATCAAACTTTAAAAGGACAAAGAAAACAAAGAAGAAAACAATGGAATTAAGGTATTCCAGCCTGAAGACCACTCATTTAATCAACGGGTAATGTATGTTGTGTACCACACTTTCAGAAGACAAGGAGAGCAGAGAATCCTGTTCCCAGGAAGTGAAAACATGCTTGAGAACTACCGGGGAGGTTGCATCCAACAGCTACTGGGGGTGGGGCAGTCTTGAAGAATGAGGACAAGTTCCAGAGGCAAGGAGGAATGTGGGATACATTTCAAACCACACGAAGAACCCATGCAAAGCAGCAAAATACAAAGAAATCCTGCTTGTATTCTTGCAAAAGTAATTTTTTTAAGTTTATTTATTTTGAGAGAGGAACAGTATAAGCAGGGGAGGGGCAGAGAGAGAGAGAGAGAGAGAGAAAGAGAGAGAGAGAGAGAGAGAGAGAGAGAGAGAAAGAAAGAGAGAGAGAGAGAGAGAAAGAGGAAGACGGGGGGCAGGAAGGCGGGCAGACAACCATAACAGCACCAGGCATGGGAGGAGGCAAGACTGCTGAGGCCGGCACCTGGTAGGCAATGAGGCAGTAAAAAGAGGTTTTTAGTAGAGGAACCGTCATATAATCAAGACGAGGGGGGTGATGGTGGGGAAGCAAAAATGAAACAGAGAGGATAGAGCCGAGAGATGAGGAAGTAGAAGTGACAGACTTGGGAACTGATCGGAGGTGATCCTGAAGCTCCAAGCCTTTTGGTGACAGGGCGGACAGTGGCACAGTCTAAGAGAACTTTAAGAAAAGCAGCAGCTTGGCAGTGGCTGGTGGTAAAGCCTCATACCCAAAAGGACTCATAAATCCAAGGGCAAGAAGAGGTATAATTTTGTCATCGGATACCGAAAAGTGGGGGCACCTGGGTGGCTCAGTTGGTCAGGTGTCCGATTCGTGGTTTCAGCTCACATCATGATCTCGCGGTTCGTGGGTTCGAGCCCCGTGTCGGGCTCGGCACTGGCAGTGCGGAGCCTGCTTGGGACCCTCTCTCTCTCCCCCTCCCCTGCTCATGCTCGCTCGCTCTCTTTCTCAAAATAAATAAACTTGAACTGCAAAAAAAAAAGCGAATCGGTCTAAGAGCGAGAGAAGCAAGGTGTGGGAGGGGTTGGTCAAGACCACTGCTGTGCCCAGCTAGGGCGCATGTGGGTGACACTGAGGCACCCTGTGCTACCACAGGCAAGCCACTTGAGGAGGCCGTTCACAAAAGGCTCCCCCTACAAAGGGAAGGCTCCCCCTGGTACGAGAATATGCCAACTGATCAACGCTGAAGGAACCAGGGAGTCAAACGATGGGGAGAGAGTGGCTCTGCCGTGGAGAAGCTCGGCCCACACCGCCACCTTAACCAAGGGGTCCAAGTGAACGTTACCGGCGATGGGTCAAACTGCCATCATGTGTCACATGGTGCGATGCACCGACAAGGACACAGCATCGCTTCCCTGCTGTTTCTGCCCAAGGTGCAAATAGGAACTTAATCGTGAGGAAAACACCCAAAAAACAAACAAAAACCCAAAAAAATGCCAAACTGAGGAGGAACGTCCTACAAAATAACTAATCTGTAGTTCAAACTATTGAGGCCATGAAAAACAGACTAAAAACTGTTCTAGATTGAAAGAGCCTCGAGACTCGACGACTAAACCTAACATGTGGTCCAGGATTAGCTCCTGGGCCCAAAATATTTTTGTGTTTTGCCATAAAGGACATTAACGGGACAACTAATGAAATGAAAACAGAGGACAGGTTAGCGTTGGGTCAATGTTTACGTCCTAATTTTGATAACCGCACGGTGGTTACGTAAGAGAATGTTTTTAGGAATTACCCACTGAGGTAGTTAGAAGTAAAGCTGCATCAGATCTGCAAACTTTCAAATATTTCAGACAGTTATCTATATAGAAAGAATGGTGTGGGGGAAAGTGCTAAAACACTAACACTGAAGGAACCTGGGAATTTTTGTAACTTCCAATTTGTTTAAACTTGTAATTTTTCCAATAAATCGAAAATACTTTGAAAATAAAGGTAAGGATGGGGCGCCTGGGTGGCGCAGTCGGTTAAGCGTCCGACTTCAGCCAGGTCACGATCTCGCGGTCCGGGAGTTCGAGCCCCGCGTCGGGCTCTGGGCTGATGGCTCGGAGCCTGGAGCCTGTTTCCGATTCTGTGTCTCCCTCTCTCTCTGCCCCTCCCCCATTCATGCTCTGTCTCTCTCTGTCCCAAAAATAAATAAAAAACGTTGAAAAAAAAAATTAAAAAAAAAAAAAAAAGAAAATAAAGGTAAGGAGAAAGCAACCTTCCCCTCCCCCAGAATGACACAGGGTATCTTTCTGAAGTGCTAGGTCAACATGTAAAGGCCTCAATCACCTGAATTGGACCTTTGTGCAGTTTTTCCTCTTGCACAAGGGAGAAGTGCCAGAAAGAAACTGATCTATAAAACCAGTGTCAAAAAGATGGACACTGACAAAAGTGTCCCCATTCTGGGGACAGAACGGACTAAACAAAGCTGCAGATCTGCTGTTAGATTAGGCAAAGTGTTCACCCGTGATTCAACCCTGGTGTGTTGCAGAGAAAACCCCGGAAATAACCACGAAGTCTGCTTTAGCAGGCTTCAACTTGAAACCTATTTTCCCTGATTTGGCACATCCTACGTAAATATTAACACCGTCACGCAGCTTACTAGGATGCTGCTGAAATTATCTGCAGCACCCACGGGCTGTGCACACCATACGATACTTAACATCATTGCAGGGAACACCGGGATCAGAGCACAGAGGGAGGCTCTAACCCCTACTTTGGTTTCAAATTGTTTAAACCCATATTCTTGAGCTCAACTACTAATGCTAATGCCCAAGAACTGACCTAACCATGCACCCGCTTAGACTACCTTCTCCTCAAAGCTCATCGGCTCTGAGAGCATCCAGGAGAAAACCAAACCAAGGGACACGATGGCAAAAGGGAGGCCAAAGAGACACGTTATGAGAACACTTAATGAACAAATAAATGTTTTCAATACAGGCACAAATTTGTCACTTCGAGAACGATGCAGAAAACATTAAGACAGTTGTTCTTTGCAGTAACACCAAGTTGTCAGTGGAGTTGAAATACAGCTGCCTGACCAGAAGATATCCAAGGATCCTTGCTGGGCTTTTTTTACCCCAGGGAAAAAATTCTATCAATAATGAATCCCAGGCGCCTGATCAAAGGCCAAGGTCTGCAACAGTCACGACTACTCCTTCGTTTTATTAAGCCAAAGTTCATTACCATTTGTGCCCAGGACAGGGCTGCGGACACAATGGTAACATGCCCCTTTCCCTGCCCTCAAGCGGCTGACAGATCTTCGAGGCCACAGACAAACAGGGTGGGTGCTCTGACAGGGAGCTGAGGGAGCACAGAGAAAGCACCTAACCAGCCACAGCTGCAGGCCTGAAAACACGCCGGTTGGTGCACGGAAAGGTCTCACGGATCCCGTACAACAGCCGCAAAACTACACGCAGATGGAGACCCATAAGTCTGACAGCTGTCCAGACTGCTCAGCTCCTTCTCAGAAAGCATCTCACACTTAAGGAGAGCTGATCCCAGAGTCTCCAGATGGCTCAGCTCGCCAGAAAGTAGCCCGTAGACAGTGAAAGCCATGATCAGCTCTGAGGTAACAACACTCTTACCTGTGGCTTCAATGTACTCAATACATCTCTCAATAAACACAGGGATGGGCTTCTCTGGAGTCACGACAGTTGTCAAGGGCACCCCAAAATAGTTACTCTCCCAGGTTGCCTTTGTGATGGACGGCCGGGGTTTGGGCTTTGGTTTCTGTACAGGAAAGAGAAAAGAAAGCATAAAACAAAAACAAAGTGAATATCAACATGCAACTTAAACATCAGCTAAAGCTTCCAGAAGGGAATTCACAGTGGTGTGGAAACTGCTGGGAAGACTCCAAGCAGGATAGAGATCCATTTGCTCATCTCACTAATTTTGTATTTTCCAGCCTCCAAATATCACACAAGATGCCAGCCAGTTGACACACAGTCACACCCTGAGTGTGAGACTGCATTATCAACACAAAGGTGTTTAGAAGAAGCAGGCCATGTTGAGTTAATAACAACGAGATGGCTATCCACATCCTTTATCAGGGGTGCCCTGGAGTAAACAGGAAGTTTTCCAAACATCCCACATGGATAATGAATGTCATACACTCAAGACGGCTAAAATCTTTAAAAAGATAAAAGATGGAATGGAGAATGAGTAATTTCCTCTTTCCAGAAAAGAAATAGAGCATGTGTTCTGCTACGGCTGAAAGCTCCAAATGAGAATTCCCTTCCATACATTAGCCCGGGGTTAATTCTCAATGGCTTCCGAATCAGGAAAGGGTAAAACCAACTGAGCAAACATGACAAAGAAGGTAATACTTGTCTCTTCTTTCCCAGCAGCCCCCTTCCTCCGGAGCAGGAGCAGCGGCAACCACTTGAGAGCTCACCGTGTACCAAGCCAGGTCCCAAATATTACTTCTTTTAAAGCTCACGACATTCTGTTGAATCAAGGAAAAGTGTCCCACGTGCCTAAGTCACACAACTAGTAAGTCATAGTGCTGGGATTCAAACCCAGGAGGGTCTGTCTCCAAAGCTCAGGCTCATAGACCTCTCTGAGATATTCTGCTCCAAAATTATTCAATCCTTTTATTTTGAAGCTCACATGAGGAAAAAATGCTCTGAACGGTAAATTTCCTAAAAGTGACAAAAACGTACCTGAAATTCTGGACTTTTGTTAAAATATCTACTAAGGAAAAGGGTAACCAAACAGGAGCAAGGTAAATGGACCCAGGTATAGCTCCAGCAATTCAGTTTCATGTCCAAGTTAACGAGATGAATTTAGAGGGCAGATTTATTACAAATATACGCAACCCATAAACTTGAAAGTATTTAGGGATCTTTGCATAAAATCCACTGGAGGGACAACTAACTAGCCAGGGTCAACCATTCGCATTCCTCATCCTGCCCATCTTCGTTCCTTCTGGTACCTCTATTTATATGGGAACAAATCGCTTCCTGTTTAGTCTGAGATTCTCAGAGGACTTCCTGTGCAAACAAGTACCAAAGAAAAAGAACAACTGAGAAGAAAACGTACACGAAAGAAGGCACAAGCCCATCTCTAAGCTGGTTGACATTGCCTGCAATGACCACCAAAAGGCAAAGACCATCCACTCTACACAGAGCCTGTTAACTGGGTCAGTCTGGAAGACTGTACCGCCATGCGAATGGATCTTGGCGTTCCAGAGAAGAACCACAAAGCCTCCACGAGGCTCACCCCTGCCCCTGTCCCACTCCTCATCAATGCAGCCACACCGCCTCTCAGATTGCAGGGAGTGGCCACTGTTCCTTCCCCTTCCAGACTGCCTGCCAGAGGCAAACAGGCTCAGACCTAGACTTTTTACCAAAGAAGTAAGGAAAAGCAAATGAGTGATTTATGATGTATCTTTACACGAGATAATTTAACCAATCTAGACTCTCTCCCTGACATCTTCTATTTATATGAAGTATAACATAAAGAATTTAAGATCTGAAATCTTAGCAGACCTGGGTCTGAATCCTGACAGACAAGTCCTGTGACTCTGGGTAAGTGACTTATTAGCATCTCAGGGACAGGGCCTCCTCACAAGGTGGTCTTGAGGGTGAAATGTGGGCGACTGGCTCAGTGCCTAGCCTCACAGTAGCCATCCAGTAATTCAAGGAAAGAGAGGGGTGAGTGCTTCTGTTGTCACACGTTGTGGCAACCGGATAACCATGAGTCAAGCCATGCTCTCCCTTAAAAATGCCATACAGTTTAAATTATTAGCTACAGATTCTGAATATACAAGGAAGACCATCTGGATTTCAGCGACATTCTTTTTATCAGTCTCAGTCTTGCAGAATTTCCCTGTCAAAACTGACAACAGTATTGTTCTTCAATAAAACTGATGCTTCCAAATAAATTGTTAAGGAATAAAAAATGGAACTTTTTTTCTAATCACCATAAGGCCTTCTTTTTCTTAAATTAAGTTTACTTTTATCTTTACATTTTCATTTATTTTGAGAGAGAGAGAACAAGCAGGGGAGGGGCAGAGAGAGAGAGAGGGAGAGAGAGAGAGAGAGACAAAATCCCAAGCAGGCTCTGCACTGTCAGCGCAGAGCTGATGTGGGGCTTGAACTCACAAACCATGAGATCATGACCTGAGCTGAAACTGAGAGTCAGACGCTTAACCAACTGAGACACCCAGACGCCCCTAACCAAGCCTTCTAACCATAGTTCTAGTAAACGATCAATTTTAATCTTATACTTCCTTCCTCCACCTTCTCAATACCAGAACAAGATGATGAGGTGTGTTCTAACAATCTAAGTTAACTAGAAACTTTACCATCTATCAACTGAATACTGTGTACTGGACCCTTGCTTAAGTTCCTTAGATGTATTATTTCATTCCAGACTCACAACAGCTCCAGGGGTGTGGGGTTAATAACTCCATTTTACAGATGAAGTGGAGTCGTAGAAAAATTCAGTTACTTGCCCAAGTCAGTTTTGACTACAAAACTTGCTCTCTTAACCACTATGGTTCACGGCCCTTCCCTGAAAGGTCCTGAGAGAGGCAGAATGAATAAGTGGATAGCTGAATAAATGATTAAGGGTACACCGACAATCTGGAGAGTTTCTAAGGTAATAGAGGCCCACTCACATAAAATACCAGGGATCTTTAAGCTGGAAAAGGAAGGAATGGAGCATTATGACAACTATTTCATACAACTATAGGACTATCTCTTGGAAAGAGAGATTATTTTATATGATTCCAAAGGGTTATGCTGAAAGAGATAAGAAGAGAACACAGGCAATTTTGGCCTTAAATATAAAGAGAAATTTAAAAAACAAAATCCCCAGGTGTTTAAACAGGAAGGGACTGCTCTGTATAAATATTCCAAGCACAGGTTGCAAACTACATACCTCTGCCACACCACTGTCAAGGAGATTCTTCCATTCGATGGAAGACTAAATTGGATACTGCCCTTATGCCTCTCGTCCCAAAGAATCCAAGACCCTAGTTCAGTGCTTCAACTTACAAAATGCAGAAATGGAGAGTAAGCTTTAACAACAGGATCAACTCCCGTTACTAAATGACATGGATTCTCCCTCTCAGATTTAAACAAACCCTGGTTTATCGAATGTCAAAACACCTCCTAGAAGTAAGTGAAGGCTCTGTAGGGTGTCACAAAATTAGGACGGGGATTCTTGCACACCGAATTCTAAACCTTTCCAGTAAGGAAATCAGACTTTGTGGTACACACTAAGAGGTGGGCCAGATTGTCAGTATGACAAACAACACATCAGGCACCTGAAGGGTTACTGGGCACATGTCAGATGGAAACGCCACTCTTGTGAGTGGCCTGCCAGCTGTCTCAGTCCCCGGTCAGACGTGGGTCGCTCATTATGGAGTCCCTGGGGCCCTCCAAGCAGCAGGCTCTTGGAGAGGAGAAAGTAACACCATCCCAACATCAATCTTCTTTCGAGGGCACTCACAGAGCAGGCTGAATTGAAAAAAAGCATCTAGCCAGAGGAGACCAAGCCCTGAGAATAATCTACACATCTGTGCCTCTAAGTTTAGAGTCTTATTGGGTCAAAAATGGAAACCAGTGATTAATCTGGAGTGGCCATGTGCAGGCCACTGCTAGGTACTTTGCACAATTACCTGAAACCTTACAACCATCTTCAGGGTAAGGGTTATTAGCACCATTTTACAGGTGAGAAATCAAGCTCTGAGAGAGTCACACCCAGCACTGAGAGAGCCAGGCTCCAGAGGCTAGTGATCTATAAACACCAAAGCCCCTTTTTCCCCTACGTGAACTCTATGATGAAATGACAAAAACCAAGGACCGGGTCAGTCTGAACCACCTTCATCTTGTTCTTTTGGATGGATCTATTTTTTGAACGAGCAACACAGTGCATTGTTCTTTACTTCGGTTTCCTTAAAAACAGGCCCGATTCTTAGTCTTGATAATACCCAGGTGGCAAAGGAAACAAAGAAACGAACCAATAGTTTCTGCCAGGACGGCACTGCAAAGAGACGGTGGTTGGAATTTCCCACTGGCCCCTTGGCTTTCGAAACAAGAAAAGAGCATAAAGGGAAACTCCCAACTCTGGTGGAGTAGGAAGACATCTGTAAGCCCACGGGGGTCCCTCTGGAGTCCACGGGGACAAGAAAAAGGTTCGAATGCCATGCGAAGAATGAGAAGCGACTGACAGAAGGGCCCTTTCTATCAGGCTGCAAGATGAGTGGGTTCCAGGGCCTGATATGCAGTAGGCACTCCATAAATTTCCTGAACAAAAACAGTTTCCAATAGTGCACAGGGCCAATATTTCTTTATATTTTTTCAAGTTTAGCTGAGATGAGGACTATCTCTGTATGCACAGAAGTTTTTCTTCTCCTAAATTGTGCTCCTTTTCCGCGGATGGAGGCGGCGAGGCTCAGAAGGTCTTATACTGGCACTACCGCCCCAGACTCCCTTTTAAAAACCAGATGAGGTAATGAATTCCCTATGTCACTGTGTGGCCACTGGATAAAGGACAGTCATTTATGTACACATGTGACTGTTACCCTACTTAACTCAGTAAGGATCTTAGCATTTTTGTTTTTTAACGAATTATGCCCAAGGTCACAGAGCAAACTAGCAGCAGGGCTAATCCCAGGACCAAAGTCCTCTATCCCCCTCAACGAACTTACAATCTAACTGGTAAAAGAAAGATATATCCCTGGCAAGCAAAGCTGATCTAGACATCAGGCTCAGTAACAA